TACTCGTGCACGGTACATGCGTGTATGCACAAGCAGCGGCGCGCGCCACGAGCCGTCCGAACGGTGCGCGCGACTTCGGTGGGCGCTCGCGTATGATTGCGTCGGCATGTCACGCGACCCGCCAACCTCGTAGACACGATCGGGACAGACCCCACGCCATCTTGATCGCTCTCTACTGCAGCTCGGGTGCTTGGGCGCCGCCGACGACACAGATGTCAAACGTGCCATTGATGCAGTCCTTCCGACGCCAGTAGTGCATCCGCTAGCAGTAGCACTTGCGCAGTCTTGGCCGCCACCAAGCGGAAAGGTTGATGGACTGTGAACCTTCGCGGAGCTTCGGACTTGACATGGCGGTGGATGCAAGTAACCGGAAGCGGGCCAATCAAAGTGCGGAAGCGTTGCGATCTTCAAGCAAATATTGTATGTGCCTGACCCACCCCCTCCTAAAACAAAAGAACGGCATCTTTGTATGTAGAGAGGGAGGGTACACGCGGGCGATGAGGGGGGAGGCCATAGCGTTTAAAAGAGAGGCGCAGGAGCTCATTTCCATTTTCATCCACGGACCAAGACCCGATCATCAACATGGCGCAACCGATCACGTGCAAGGCTGCTGTCTGCTGGGGCGCGAAGCAAGACTTTGTCATTGAAGACGTCATTGTCGGCGCGCCCGCCGCCGGCGAGGTGCGCATCAAGATCACGGCCACGGGCGTCTGCCACACGGACGAGTACACGCGGTCCGGCGCGGACCCGGAGGGCATCTTCCCGTGCATCATGGGCCATGAAGGCGCCGGCATCGTCGAGAGCGTCGGCGAAGGTGTCACGTCGCTCCAGGTCGGCGACCATGTCATTCCGTGCTACACGCCGCAGTGCCGCAACTGCAAGTTCTGGTACGACGCTCCTGCTGCATGATGAGATGTTCATGCTCGCCTATGCGTAGCAAGTCGAACAAGACCAACTTGTGCTCGATCATTCGCTCGACGCAGGGCAGCGGCCTCATGCCCAACGGCACGTCGCGCTTCACGTGCAAGCGCAACGGCGAGGTTGACGTCGCCTCTACATGTGCAAGCTCACCATCCGCATGTAGACCATCTACCACTTTATGGGCACGTCGACGTTCTCCGAGTACACGGTGCTGCCCGAGATCTCGGTCGCCAAGATTGACAAGACGGCGGCGCTCGATAAGGTCTGCCTCCTCGGCTGCGGCATCACGACCGGGTACGGCGCGGCCCTCAACACGATGAAGGTCGAGAAGGACTCGACGGTCGCTGTCTTTGGCATGGGCGCGGTCGGCCTCGCCGTCATCATGGGCTGCAAGGCCGCGGGCGCGCGCCGCATCATTGCCGTCGACATCAACCCCAAGAAGTTTGACATTGCGCGCGAGTTTGGCGCGACCGAGTGCGTCAACCCGCGCGACTACACGCAGCCGATCCAGCAGGTGCTGACCGAGTTGACGGTCGAAGATGGCTTTGGTGGCCTCGACTACACGTTCGAGTGCATTGGCCTCGCCGACACGATGCGCGCGGCCTTGGAGTGCTGCCACAAGGGCTGGGGCCAGAGCTGCATCATTGGCGTGGCTGCGTCCGGTGTTGAGATCGCGACACGCCCGTTCCAGCTCGTGACCGGTCGCCGCTGGGCCGGCTCGGCCTTTGGCGGCTTCAAGTCGCGCGACGGCGTCCCCGCGCTTGTCGACAAGTACCTCAAGCACGAGCTCAAGGTCGACGAGTTCATTACGCACCACTTTTCGCTCGCCGAGATCAACGAAGCGTTCCATGCCATGCACAGCGGCGACTGCATCCGCGCCATCATCCACTTTGAGTAAGCGAAGCTGCTCGAGCATCAACTACAAACACGACTTCATTGAATCAATATGTCGAATCGCGCCGCAGCAGGTCGGCGAAGGTGCAGCTACCATGGAGATGATGGCATACGAGGAGGCACGGAGGTCCTTGGAATGCTTGTACCTGGAGTACATGGCCGAGAGCGGAGTGTGCATCGGGGTCGGTCGTCGCTGGCGTGCGTCCGAGCGAGCCCACTGGAGAATGAAGTTGCGGCGATCGTCCATCATTTTGCCAGCACAAGCGCACCTACGGTTCGGATGTAAAATAGAGCAATGCATAGGGTGCGATGAAGTTGAGGGTCGCCGTCGGATCCATGAACCGCCGCCGGAGTCGGTCCCTACCCCTGGTTCCGACCAGCTCGGTGCGTCCATGCAGAGTGCGACAAGCTGGCTGCCGACCAAGTATGGCTGCGACGAGTGGTGGGTGCATGTTGCCGAGGTCCCGGCGCGGTGTCGTCCACATGGCCGTGTCTTGATCACATGCATCTTGGCACTTGGCATTGAAGGGATAGAAATCACAATCATGAGCACACATTAGCTCCAACACTACTTCCCGGGTCTATCCTTGCTCTTGGTCTCGGGCTACTTGCTCATGCGCTCGCTTCCACTTCCTTGATCTCGGTGCCGCTCTCGTCGACGGGCACGTCGATCGTCTGGGCTTGGCGATGCATCTTGGTCGGCGTGCTGTCGTCGTCGTTGTTGGCACGCTTGCGCTTATGGTCGTCGCTGGCCGGCGTCTCGTCGTCCGGCTTGGTCGTCCGCGCTCCATCGACATCTTCGTCGAGCGCTTCCGGCTCCATGTTGCCACCGTCGAGGAAGCCCATGCACGTGTCGAGCGCTTCCGTCAAGCTCGCGTCGCTGCCCATCGTCGTCGCCATCTCCTGGGCCAAGGTCGCAGCTGCCTCGGCGCTGATCGTCGTGTCGTGGAGGTTCAAGGGGCTCGCCATGGCTGCTGCTGCTGTCGTCTTCTTGGCTCGGAGGCAAGTTGGAAACTGAGGTGGCCACGGTGGCCGCGCGCAACCGCAATTTAATATCGCAATTACAGTTGCATACAAGAACCAAGGTATAAAATAAACGGAGTGCTAACCCTACACCGCAGAACACAATTCGCGCGCGAAAAATGACAGTTTCATCGTATTCGGGTACACCCCCTACGCTTCGAAATTCCAGACTAAAAAATACGGTTGGCCCATACCTTTTAAAGAGAGGTAGTCGAATGAAATGTGGCGTGTTTTTTATGACACGAGGCCAAGGGTGGGTCGGAAACAGCGGTCGTGGGCGACGTAGCGGGTCCGACGCGTGGTTTCGCGGAAGCACGGCCACCCTCTACCTTGCTTGCCTCCTTCCATCTTCCTTCATCTTCCTCCATCGTCCTACATGCTTCCGCGCTCCATGCTTCCGCCATGCGTCCATGCTCCCCATGTGTCCATCATTTGGATCTCGACCCTAGCCCTGGATGCAGTCGCCGTGCATATGTAACGAAGACGACGATCCACGGTTCATGACGAAGCGCATTACTCGTAACCTAGTCGGTTCAAGACGCGCGTCTCGGCTTCGGCCCGCGCAATCTCTTGGCGGAGCATGGCTTTGTGGAGCTGTCGCTTGAGGCGCTGGACCCGGCGAGCGGCCATCTCTTCGTCGTCCTCGTCGCTGCTGCTACTGTCGTCGCTGCAGATGGCGTCGTCTTGCGCAGGCAGCACGAAGCGTTCGTCGGGCGTTGGCTCTGTCATGGCAATCGATGCGACTGGAAGCTGGCGGGTTGAAGAATGACCGCGTTGGCGGCTAGAACGACTAGGGTTGCGGTTGCGAAACAGTTACTAACCGTTCAATTCGTAGCCGTTACGGCTTGGTCGACCAGGTATTCTTTGCGAGATATCGAACGAAGAACAGATATTGCGCGCGCAATATCGCACGTGCAATGAGCCCGCTGCAATATGCAATATATCGACGCTCGATGATCCCAATCCCGGGTACGTAACTCAAAGTGGAGCGAGAGACAACCAACATGGACATGCAAGTCTGACGAAGAAGGCTAGACATGCCACGCAGGATTGAATGAAGAAGAAGGACGATGATGCATGAGCCCATGTATGGAACGGACGTAGTAGACTTAGGCGGCTTGGACGTGTTGAGCAACAAGCAAGGCGGCCTTCTGGCACTTCAAGACATACGTGTCGACTTGGGTGCGCGCAATCTCCTTGCGAAGCTGCGCCTTGAGAAGCTTGCGGCGAAGTTTCTTGGTGGACCACGCCTTGCAGATGCGCTTGGCTTCCCGCGATGACTCTGTCTCCTCGTTCTCAGACGGGCGTCGTTTTCCGAGCGTCGCACTGCTTGTTGGGGGCGCAGGGATCGCCGTCGGGCTCGCAGCGCGCGTGATCTCGGGCTCTGCGGGTCGACTTGGGACCGCTCTCTTCCGCGACTCGGACGCCATTGTCGTCGCCAACGCGCTGCTTGCCTTCTTCATCTTGGCACCTGGCGCTTCAGCCGCGGTCTTGGCCTTGTAGAACCCGTGCTTGTGCGGTGTGGGACGAGCAAAGCTCGGATTCTCGGTCGCCATAGCTTTGGCCTTGGGATACATGGGCCGCGGGCTAAAGAAGGACGGTCGCACGTCCCATCGATCACCGAGCGATTGACGCGGTCGCTTCCCGGCCGCCGATGTCACAAGCACCACGTCGAGTATCGGTGACGGCGTCCGAGGGGTCGCAGGTCGAAGCTGCGGGTTGATCTTGCACGGGTCGTTCGCATTGCGCTCGTCGGGTTCGTCGAGCTCGGTGCTTGGATTTGGTCGATCGTCCCCATCCTCGTCCTCGTCCTCATCATGCTCATCGTCGCTTCGGGCGTCGACGACCATGGGGCGCTCCGGCGAGCTGGCGGCGCTGCTGCTAGCGCTACTGCTCCGACTGCTGCTGCTGCTCATGTGTGCGCGACTTGGCAAATTGGCAACTGATCTCGTCGGCGTCGCGCGCCAAGAGCAGCATACTTTGATTCATATCAACGCCACCGATCCCTACCCCTACCCGTTTCCCAGGACCACTTGGTGTTTGTATACCCGACTTGGCCGCAGGATTTTGAAACGGCCACGAAACACTGTTTCGATCGCATCCACTGTACTACTGTCGGCAATCAACCGACAACTATGTCCACAAGGACAGCTATACCACCAGTGTATTTTTGTCCTTTGTGTACACATCTTTGTAAAAGGTACGGAGCTACAGTAGTTAGCAGCGTCAATACTACGAGGTGTCTCGTGGCGGCGGTGATGTAAATACCTTGAGCCACGCCGGTTCGTATCAATTTATCAACTCACTCGAGGGTAGGGTTGCGACACCTAAAGGACTACACAGCCATCCATTGGCACTCGGCGACGTTTACTGGGGTAGTACAGTCGCAGTGGACGTGTCAGCTGGTCTGTTGACCATACATCTCTAGACGGATATCGCATTACATATCATCTCTACATCATCGAGCTAGTCCGTCATGGCAACGTCGTTATGGGCATCGACAAACAGTGGGAGGCCGTAGCACACAGCGGCTAGGCCATTGAGCGACTGCAGTTTGCACTCACGTCGCGCGATCACCAGTGCGGTCGCTAACGACGTCTCGCCACCAAACCACTCGTTCAACAGCTTGAGACTGAGCCGGTCAATGTCGCGGTCGGTCACGTCCCATAGCATACCGACGACCGCGCGGCTGTTGGCGGCCAAGTAGCTGAGAAGCATGCCTTCCGGGAGGTAGATGCCTTCTTGCTTGAGGCGACCGCTGCTGCAGCCCAAGAGAAGCGCGACGCTGGCTTTCGACCACCCCGCAAGCACGTCCCGATGGAGGAATACCTCGCCCGAGCCGTGCCCCGAGTAAATGAACACGTCGCTCTCTTGAACATACGTGGCCATGCGACTGGCGGTATCGTCGTGCGGGCCAAAGACGCCATGCCACTGCCACGCGCTCGCCGCTTGGTCCAAGAACGGTCGCAGCACATTCTCCGTCGCTACCAAGTCGCCCGACGGGTTGATCATGTACCGGACGCTGAGCTTGGAGACAGCAGCGTCGACCGGCGACAAGATTGAACGCAGGTTTGGCATGCGGCTCACGGCCATGTCGCAGCAAATGCCGAGGCCTTCCCACGGAAACGCATGCACCTTTTCATCGCAGACGAGGATCGTTGGCCCAGGTGTGTCGGCCGATGCGTGCACTGGGAATCGAACCGCCGCCAAGTTGATGCGCGGTACGATCGACCGGAGGCCCGCGAGGGCCACGTCCCGAGTCAGCTTGTGTTGCTGCAGCGCGTAGAGCACTGACACGAGCAGTTCGTCTTGGACCAAGGAGAGCGTTGCGACTTGCGCGCGGACCGAGGCCACGGCCGCGACGACGGCCTCTGGCAACACCGCCGGTCGACTGAGAAAGAGACTGGCGTAGTGCCCAAGTTTGGTCTAGTACACAGTGTCGACATGTCCCATACAAGACGTCGAGAGTCGGAGTACCATGGCTTTCTCGAGCAAAAGGTGCAGCTGCTTGTCGAGATGATTGCGCTGGTGCCACCACTGCTTCTTTTGCGTCGCCGACCACGCGTGCGCTTCGTCGGCAGTGTGCCCCGACAACGTCTCACTACGTATCATCATCGTACCGCCAACCTGCGTCATCGACGATATACATACTTGGAGGCAGCAATGATCTTGTGTAGCCCCGAGAGAAAGCTCTCCATCGGGAAAACGCTCTTGGGCAGTGCGACGGTGACGGGCACCGCGCCATTGCGCTACCATCCACCTCGTCAGCTTCACTCTATAGCAAACAAGAGGCGTCGTACCTGGAGGCGGTGCAGCACAAGCTCCTTGGACGACGTCAGCGAGAGACACACAACGTTCCAGTTGGCCGGGATCTCGGACGAGACGAACGCGGTCTGGAAGGCGTCCGTCTGCATTTGAAAAAACTCGGGCGGCGCCATGTTCTCGGGCTTGGATGCGTCGTGTTTGCCTTCACTCTTGTCGCATTTGTCAACGCGGACGCCAGACGCTTGCAAGAGCGTCATGTTCCACAGCAGTTTGCGCTGCATGGCAACCTCCGTGTGCTTGGCCGTCTCGATGAGCGCCAGCGTCAAGTCGCGACACACCACATGCAGCAACTGCGGCCGATACCGCATATGCACAACCAGACACCACGCTTCGCGGAGCGCTTGGATGCTCTGGGAGAGGAGGTCGAGGCGCTTCCCGTCGTCGTACGTGAGCGCACGATGGTAGACGGCGAGGCCCACCGCGTGGAGGCACCGCGCCTTCTCGACATCGCACATGCTGAGTTTGAGAGCTTTTTGAAAGGCCGTGATTGCGTCGTCGGGAAACGCCGACTTGGTCTTGTCAAAGTAGTAGGCACCGACAGCGTTGGACGCGAGTTTGCGGTAACTGCGCCCGACGATGTAGATGAGCCGCTTCTGCGACTGGTAGTACGGAATGATGCGGTGCTTCGAGAGCTTGTACGCCTTCTGCGCCGGGCCGTAGACGCTCTGGACATGGAGCATATCGCCTTCAAAGAGGTCTTCGTTGCACGCTTGCGCCATCCACGCATCGTCGAGTTGCAGCGTTGCATCCTGTGGGATCGGCAGCAGCTTGGCGAGCGCGGACTGCGCCACCGTCAAGTTGTGGCGCTGGAGCTCCAGGCGCGCGCTGACGAGCGCGACTTGCCGCGTGCACACAAGCCGTGGGTGCAGACCAAACGCCAGCGCTTGGGCCCGACGCAAGTACACGAGCGACCTAGTCCACAGGTCAGGCGACGCAAAGCCGACAGGAAACGTACTTGGCCGGTGCGCCGAGCTTGGCATGCACGTCACCGAGGGCCGAGAGAACCGTGAGCGTATCGTGGAGTACGCGCCATCCGTTGGCATCGTAGCTTTGAAAATGCATTTTGCCCGGCGCGGCCAGTGGCGGCAGCAAAATCGTATCGAGTCCGAGGTACTGGACGTGCTGGAAGCAGAGGTGGAGCGCTGTTTTGAGCGCATCGGCCGCGTCTTCGTACCGTCCTTTGGCAGCGTACGCCGACGCGAGTGCGACCTGCACACAACGCGACTCGGTCAAGCCTTTCGACTTCGAGCGCGGCGACTGGTCTTGGAGAGAGTGGAGGAGTCGCAGGGCGCCGTCCACGTCGCCCGTGCTCTGCATCGCCGCGGCCTTCTCCCACGGTTCGCGCTCGCTTGACAGTCGTCGCTACAGTAGTTTAGTTGATACGACAGACTATAGTACAGCGTCGAGACGTACGTGGAAGGAGCTCCACCCGAGCACGTGGCAGGCACCGAGGAGCGCATTGTGATACGGGTTCTCGTCGTCGTTTGTCGGGCTACCAGCTTGCGTGTACCCGGCGACCGCACTCTCGAGGTCGGGGCGAATCGCATCAAACGGTATGGGGCACTCGACCGATGCGTAGGCGGAGCTGATGATGCGCTCGAGCCGCCATATCGCCCGCCAGCCCGCTAATATCGGCGTCGTGTCGTTGGCGACGGCTTGTAGCAACGTATCCAGCGAGGTGAGCCATCGCGCAGCGTCCCGATGCACGTAAAAGTCGGCGAGGGCACGTGTCCGCTGCTGTAAGAGCGCGTCGACACGCGACGTGGCGACCAATGCGTGGAGGTCGAGCGCCGCGTCGAGTCGCTCGAGCGTTGTGGCGCAGGCTTCGCGGCGCAAGTGCCGAAGCCACTTGGTCGTTTGCCTGTGCACTTGGTCGCGCAATGGCGTCGCCACGGGTGGGGACGCCTGCAGCAGACGCGTCATTGAGTCGACCATGGTGACGCGCGGCGCGTCAAAGAGCACGTGCAGGTACTTGTCGACATGGGATGCGTCGACGCGCACGGCGGTCTCGAGCGACGTTATCGCCAAGTCGAGTTTGTGCATCTTGTGGTACGCGGCGCCAAGGACCGCGTGGAGCTTGTCGCTGTGCGGCGAGGCGAGCACGCCGAGTTGGACGACTGCTTGGTACTGTTCTTGCTTGAACCACTGGACGGCGGCGGCCAAAGCGTCCGAGCCGACGGCAGAGAACGCCGCCACCGCGTCTGGCGTGGGCGACGGTAGAGAGACCGCCGTGTACAGAGCGATCGCGCGCTCCATGTAGCCGAGGAGCGTCATGGGCGCGTCGATGGCCATGCGCATGCACATGCGAAGACAGTAGAGCTCTTCCTGCACGAGCCGGTCGCGATCCGCTGCCGACTTGCTCCCTTGCCGTAGCCGCGTCGTCCATTCGAGCAGCCGTGGGTAGGCCAACGTGCCTTGGGACACGAGGCGCCGCTTGAGGCAGCGCAGGGCAATGGGCAGCATGGCCAACGGCAGGTCGCTCCCGAGGCTCTCCAGCAGACTGTCGATCGCACTGGTTTGATCGAGGAGCGCGAGTAGTCCGAGCCAGCGCGAGTCGGATGGTACGAGGTTGAGACGCACGTAGGCCAAGGTCGCTGGCACACCCGGGTGCGACGGCTCAACGACGACCCAGTGCTCGAGCCACTGCAGTAGGATCGGCCAGCTCGTGGCTTCGTCCGCCTACAAAAAAATGCTATGCTCCAAACCGAGAAGTCGACAGGATGTGCATACCGCCGCCTGCTGGGCCAGCAAGGTGTGCCAGAGGGACGTCATTTCAGCGTACAACGGCGATGGTGACTGCTGCGCATATTTCTTGAAGAGGACGCCGGTGCGATGGAGCTATCTATGGTGTAAGCGCGCGGCAGGAAGGAGAGAGGAAGGGTACCTGCTGAAGAAACATTGGCCATGGCCCACCCGTGTAGGCCAAGCAGCGGAGGCCGTGCGTGCGCAAGTGCAAGACGGTACCGGCGTCGTTCGTGGACGCCTTCTCGAGGCCCGTCGCGCATTTCCAAAGAAGACGGTACGCCATGTCCCATGTTGTTTTCGTCAGGCGCGAGGGGGCGAGGTCGTGGAGGACGAGGATGGCGACTTTACCTTGATGGAGCTGCATCTGAAGGCAGACGACGAGGAGCTTCTCCATGAACGGGGGTAGCGTGGACGGCAAGTCGTAGAACTTGCGCTGGAGCGCGACCCAGTCAAAGTCGTCGTCGTTGGAGGTGGATGGCACAAGGAACTGGACGCTGGTCAAGACGAGTCGAAGATGGTAGTGCATGAGGAGGCGGCAATACTCATGCAAGCCGCTGGGTAGCGGGAGTGCGGCCACGTCGAGCAGCTTCCTGGCGAGCTGCAAATGCATGTTCTCCCACGTAAACGGCTGCTTGAAGCTGACCTTGTCGCGGTTGAGGTTGATGACAAGGAGGCTCGCGAGCACGAGGAGCGAGAGGTCTTGCGACGCTTGTAGCGCGAGCTGGATGCCCTGCAAGCACAGGCTCGGCGACTTGTCAATGGCCACGTTCTTGGCGCCCGGCGTGGGGGTGGCGACCGCGTCCGACGTCTTGCGCTGGAGCAAAAGCGTCGACAGCTTGGCGTGCTCGGGAAAGGTCTTGGGCTTGAGGAGCAGGAAGAGCTCGAGCGCATGGAGCCCATGCTTGGACGACGTCGATGGAGATGGAGCTGCTGGAGCCTTCTCCACATGGCGCAGTGTCTTGACGACGGCTTCCATGACCACGTCCGCAGCCGGCCTCTTCCGTGGACCCGCGGCAAACTTGGAAATGATTCAAATATTGTCCGGATAATGTTATTCAAACGGACTTCGATACAAACTGTAGTACTTGTTTCTTGTATGCAGTGATTCGTAGTTCGAAGTGTCTGTCTCGTCCATCCGGATACGCCCGCCGCTGAGGCGAAGGGTCAGATTTGTGCTGGATTCTCCTGCGGAATGCCGAGCCCGTGAAGGCCCAGGCCTCCTCACACCTCGCGAGGAGTCGTTCTATCGCACCTTGCGCTTTGTATATTGATATGAACTGATGTCTCATGACGAGAAGAGCGGTGCCAAGGAGGACGTTCGATCCGTTCGATACTGGCGTCTGCATACTGAATCCAAGTACTTTTCTAATTCGGCAAAGAATCGATCCTTTCGAATATTCGATCTTTTGACCAATGGCATCGACGCATTCCGCTTTCGAAGCTCCGAGCCAGCATGGGGAACGATGGGGGTGTCATCGCGGTCAAGCGCAAGTTCATGCGCCATGGCCAGCACAAGCAGCGCGACGAGCAAGCTGACCAGCGCACGCTACGCGCGAAGCGCACGACCATGTGCGCCTTGACGGACGAGCCGCTGGCCGCGCCGATCGTGGCCGACAAGCTCGGCAACCTCTTCAACAAGGCGTCGCTCCTCGAACGTCTCCTCGAGCGCACACTGCCGCCGGAGCTGAGCTACATCCGGTCGATGAAGGACCTTGTCAACTGCAAGTTTTACGCCGACGAGACGTCGGGCCTTCGCCACTGCCCGATCACGCTGCAGGCCTTCAACGGCAAGCACCCGTTCATCGTCCAGAAAAAGTGTGGCTGTGTCCTCTCGGAGAAGGCGCTCAAGGAAGTCAAGTCCCCCGAGTGCCTCATGTGCGGCGCGCCGGCGCGCGAGAAGGACCGCATGGCGCTGCTCTTGCCCGAGGAAAAGGCCATCGAGGTCATGCTCACGCTCCACAAAAAGGACGATGGCAAGGTGACAGCCGCCGCTCCCGCGCTCAAGCGCAAGCGCGACGACAATGCACCGAACGCGCCCAAGTCCAAGGTCCGCGCCGTGAGCGAGGCCCTCGATGCAGTCCAGGCCGAGAAGGAGAAGAGCGCAGTGTTCGCCTCGCTCTTCTCGGGCGAAAAGTCATCCCAAAAGTCGGCCAACGACCTTTTGATGACCGTCGGTGGCATGCGCTACACGCTCTCCTAGCCATCGTGTATACTTCCTCTTCTGCAAACTAACTAACGCTTCATGACCGTGAAAGCTCCACTGTCGCAGCGACACGCCTTCTCCTCCGACTCCAACACAACTCGGCACGTATCTGTCATCGCTCAAGCCGATGGCGAGGCCTGACGCGCTCCTTCCAACCGCAAGAGCCAACCACGTGGCCCGGCACTGTCCTCTGTCGCTGACTGTCGTGCAGCCCGACAGATCCACGACAGTATTCCCACCGTCTGCTGCGTCTCTGGACTTGGCTTGGCTTGCTGGGTCGGCGTCTCTTCCGGCCGGGCGACCGGCGGCAGCCAACCACACGGTTGCAGGCTATCAGAACTGGAGCTGTCGACAGATATTGCCCGGTTTACTAGAGAAGGTACTCTGGTTACGACCAATCTGGTAGTCGTCTAGATGAACGAGATAACTTACTCTTCCTTTCACCGTCCTCTGCGACGCATTTACTGCTCCAGTCTCCAGTGTACCCGTCCTCGGTCAGTGCATGTCGCTACTACATATGCAGCCTGCCAACAAGGAGCTCTAGGCCCATGATGGGCCCGAGGCAGCATAGGGGCCAACACGCCGCATGGCGCCTCAGTATGACACAGCCGACCAATTGTACACAGTGTATGCAAATGAGACGACTCGTCGACTAAGCGTGGTGGCCCACGGCCGACGTGTTCCAGCCCTTGCGCTGCATCTCGAGGAGCTGCTCGTCGAGCGCTTCGGCGAGCTGCGTCGTGGCGTTCATGATTTGCACCAGCGACTTGCGCACTTGATCGGGCTGTTGCGGTACGTGGCGGCGCAATGCACCCAAGTCGTTGCAACTGCCCGAGGCTTCCATGCGCGTCGTGGTTACGAGCCGCCGATACTCCCGTTCAAAGACGTCGAGGTCCAGGACGCTGAAGCGGGCGTCGCCACTTCGCTGCGAGCCAATCGCATACTGCCCATGGGGATCCTACCATGTGACGTTGGAGGCATGCACGTCGGGAAGACAAAAGCGATGCTGACTGTCGACCTGCACAAGCGAATAGATGCGGTCCGTGCCGAGGTACTTGGTCCGCGCGTTGGCTTGCTCCTATGCCTCGTGTGTTATATTAGATCCTTGCAGTCATATCCTACAATCTTGGTGATAAGCCGGTCCTTGATCTGCTCGTGCTCGAGGTGTAGCTGCTCCTAAACGCAAATGACTGAGCACCCAACGCCGTTTTGTCAACTGCGGTCGTTGGAGTACGGCAAACGCCATGTCATCGAGCTTCTTCTTGGCGGCCGACCGCCGCAAGTAGGCTTGGGACGCCGCTTGGTGCTCGGCCGCCCGTGCCAGCGTCTACGTACCGTAAGATCTAAGAGCTGAAGCTAATCAAAGTGCAAAGTGAACCATGTGCCGCCGGAGCTTGGAGAAGCAGGCCGACTCGGGCCGCGTAACGCTGGTGGGTAGTGGTGTGCGCGCGATGGTGCTAGCGGTCATGGGCCGGCGGGCGACGATCGTCGGCGCGTTCTCCATCGTCTGCGCGCCGAACACCATAAGATTGGCAAGTCGTTTTATAACTGAAGAGGGTCCACGTCTGCTTGAGAGATCAGAGTACAAAGCCAGCGTTGAACCTGCGTCATGCTACATCTCTTGTACTGGCATCCGACAAGATACGCTCGTTTGACGCAGGATCGCACCATGACGCTACGTAAGAAGCGTCGGCATGGAGCCCGAGGACGCCACACGTCTCGTTCATTTGTCTGTGGAACCCGAGCTATCCTTTGTCGCCTGTCCCACCTCAACACCCCTCAATATTCAATCGATCGACACTACATATGCTTGTTGTTTGTTGTAGCGAGTTGGTATCGGTGTTGAGACCACGTAGCGCCGTCCATGGGGCGCTGTCGGCGCTACACGGTTGCGCTACCGGCAAACAAAGACAGTCTATTGACGTTCTGTCTCGTACATCAAAGCCCTAGGCGAGCCGGCTGCCAATTTCACCAGCAGCGATCGTCGAGACGTGACGCCTGCCACTCACTGCCTGCCACTCACTGCCTGCCACTCTCGTCGTGGAGCAGGACGCTGCTGCCACAAGGTGCTTTTGCCGACAGAGCCACCGTCCAGGTCTTGACTCGGAATCGTCAACCTTGGCCGCGGTGGGGAGCTGGCGGTCGGAGGGTAGGGGTGGTTCGACCCGCCCTGTGCAACGCTACTACGCTCCTTCCACGTAACTAGTACGTTGGTGGGTCACAGCGCAATAACAACAATAGAATGAATAGGCATAGTAGCGCCGTCGCTATCTTAGTAGGACGCCGACCGATGCCACACTTTGACAGTGCTGTCGATCGACGCAGTTAGTAGTATATCTTCAGTCGGATGGCTCACGACGGACCGGACGGGCTTGTCGCCGTGCGCGACAAACGAGCGCGACGCATCGTGGGCGTGGAGCATGTCCCAGATAAGCACGCGGCCGTCTTCCGAGCCGCTTAGGATACGCGCGTCGTCGTACGTAAAGCCGCACTCGACGCCGTAGGACGAGAGCGCATGGCCTTCGAATGCATTGAGCTCCGTGCCCGAGGCCGCTTCAAACAAGACGACACGCTTGGCGAGCGTCGACGCCACGATGCAATTGAGGTCGCTCGAGAGCTGCAAACTCACGATAGGACCTAGTACACAGTCGAATCGGACTGGTGGACGATATGCGCCATGGGACGCACTGTGCAGGTTGTCTTGGGTGAGGAGGCCGGCGCGGAGGTCGTAGCTGCGCACGTAGCCATCGACACACCTACATGACGCGCCATGCTGTTTGTACCAGAGAGTCGTATCGAAATACCCTGTGATGAGCTCATGGTCGGTGATTTTGACGCTGGTGACGCTGTCCTTGAAATGGTCGAGGATTTGGATCGGGGCAAATGAGTTCCGCGACCTAGCAGTACGACGATGGCACTGAGAAGAGCATGCAACGAAGCAGACGTACCGCATGTCCCAGAGACGCACGGTGCTGTCGTACGAGGCGCTGGCGACGACCGAGCAGTCGTCGTTGTACTCGACGGCATTGACGCTCTAGAGATATGTTCTTCGGCAAACGATCCTCCAACGCAGTGGGCGTACGTGGCTATGGCCGTCGAGCTTGCGAACGACCTTGCCCGTGGCCACGTCCCACTGGAAGATGGCCTTGTCGCGGCCACAGGATACAAATTTGGCATTGTCGTGCTCGCTACCCGCTGCTGAGCCCAGGCGCCGACGATAGAGAGGAGACGTACATGGCCACATCGCGCACCTCGTAGCCGTGCAGACCCGTGTACGACTTGACGAGGAACGCCGACTCGGGCCCCTCGAGGCCATCACGGTGCGGGTTCCAGAGCTTGATCGTGCGGTCGTTGCCGCAGCTCATGCAGTACGTGCCCTTGTCTAGTTGACGTCGCGGGCATGAGCGCCATGCTCCTACTCAAAGATGCGAGCGTAGTACCGTTGAAGCGGACGGCGATGACCGGGCCCACATGGCCGCGCAGGACGCGCGTGCACTCGTACGCTGGTGGCATGCTGTGCGCTGCTCGATCCCAACGGTGCACTACACTATATCAAGTCACCTTAAATCGTGTGTGTCACTAATTGTGCACCTTGAATCGTGTGCAATAGCCACTAAAATAGTGTGATTTCGGGTACTCACCATTAGGAATGAACCAGCGAAGCGCTAGCCTTTCTGAGGGCGCTGCATGGACTGTTTGCTAGGTGCGATGCTCGGAGGACGCCTTGCAGCTCGTGGTCGCGGCGAGGGCAGCGAGGTCAATACCTCTGAAAATGCATGTTACCGCGCAACTCACGGGTCCAGGCTGGCCTTTACACCGCAATTGACCTCTCAAACTTGATGCATCAAAACGAAGTCCGATTCTGAATATTCGCCAACGCAGCATGGACGCGCTCCTCGGCGATACGCATGTGTGGGCGACGATCCTCGGCTACGTCCAGCGCCACGACGTTGCCATGATGGGTACGCCATTCTCGCTCTCTACCTCACGCCCAACCGCATGCGCATCTAGCCTGCGTGAACAAGACGTGGTCCAAGGCCGTGGCGCGGCCGCAGGTGTGGGAAGTGCTGGCGCAGGCGCCGCGCGGCCCGTTCCTCGCGTCCTGCTTTCGCCGCGCCTCGTCGTACGCGTACCGCGAGACTGATGTGCCGGCGCCGTACGTAGCCATCCGACGGCTACCTCGTGATGGCTCATGGAGCAATCTGACCTAGGAATGTCAATCGCCGCGGCGCGCCGCCAACGATCCGCGGCTGTCTCCTGAGCGACCGCTCGACGCTCAAAGATTACATCAACGAGCTCCGCGCCATGTACTACGAGACGCAGAACCTCGCCAAGACGCCCGTGTACCTCGCGGTGCCGGACGCCCTCTACGATGACGCGGCCAGTGTTCGGACCGACCGCCCGTTCACGCGTGACGAGTGGCGCCGCGCGGCCTTCCAGTCGGTCGCGCTCATTCAGAGTCCGAGCAGCCCGCTTGCGACACACGTACACGCTCCCAACCCCGCTTTGCGTTTTCAATTGAGGATGCAACTAGGTGCTTACCGGCACGATCCTGCATGACACGGCCTTCTTCTACCTCTGGCACCTCAAGGAAGCTCGGATCGTTGCGACCATCTACCATGCGCTCGCCACGTGCTTTGACACGTGTGCGAAGATGCTCGTCATTGGTGCTTCCGACGGCACGGTCAAGACGTGGGACCTGGCGGCCGCCGTGACCGCGAAAACGACATCGCCTGTCCGCGGATTGGCCCCGACATCGACCCTCGCACCGCGCTCGCACATTGGCCTCGCGCCGTTCCTACCGACGCGCGCCAACCAGCGGCACAAGCCCGTCAAAGTCCAAGTCGACGTGAGCGAAGGCTCGTTTGTGTTTGTGGCTGCCACGTACGAAAAAGGCGACGTGTCGGTGTGGAATGCGACCAAGGCCGAGCTCACGACGTCGCTCTCGGTCGACAGGTATCGATTTACCGACCTCGAACGATTTTTCTGGATTTTTTCTGATTTGTTTCTGAATTTTTGCGCATAGTATCCACAAGTCGACGCTGCCACGGGCCGCCCGGACGCCCGCGCCGCAAGTCACAAGCCTCATGCTCTTCCGCAACACGCTTGTGTGCGGCACGTCGGTCGGCCTCGTTCGGGTCTTTGATACGCGCGACGCACGGCTGAGCCACCGCATCAGTGGCCACCCCGGTACGTTGCACCCTAACCCTCTGGGCTCCAATCAGAAATGGGATCTATATTGCCGTGTATTAGATGCAATTGTCAAGACACTGACGCGCGGCCGCGTGCTCTGGAGTGCCGGTCGGGACGGTTCGGTGCGCTGGTGGGGCGGCAAGTCACCCAAGGTCCTCCCCAAGTCGCTCCTCTGCGAAGGCCCCGTGTCCCATCTCGAGATGGACGAGTCGGTGGTTGTCGCGGCGTATGGCACCAAGGGCATGCAGGCGTGGGACGTGCGCACGCAGCAGCCGCTCACCACCTTTGGCGCGACCGACGGCGTCGATTCCGTCGTGTTTGACAAGCGGAAGCTCGTGAGTCTCTCGCCGCAAGGTGTCGTGCACGTCTGGCGTTGGTTTGGCTTGTACCCGGTCCACACCTTCCCGACGCAGCATGTGTACACGGCGGTCGCTCATGACGAACGCCACCTCGTGCTGGGGACCACCGACGGCGCTGCCGTGCTCTACCGCATGGAAGGTATTCCGTCCAAGAAGCCGCCGGGTGCCCTCTACGACTACTAGCTTAATAGATCGATTGACGATATACTCCAATATAAAAATGACAACCTCGACACGGCCCAGCATTTTGTGTAAGCCGCCCTCTGTCCGCTACTGGTGCTGTCTCAACGGTGTCTGTCTGAAGACAATCATATATGACGGCGTCAATAGCCCCCAGTCATTGATGTGTCGTGTCCAGCTGGACGGTGATGACGGTCATGACGAGGACTGACACTGTTCCAGCGGTGCTTGGTGCCCACTGGATAGTTCGTAGTCAGAATATCCAGTCAATGGAATAGCGGAAAACACGTTCATTATCGGATACTGGTGCGGTATCCAACTCGTTGGATAGCAGTGGATCATCAAGGCGTGGTGTGACGCAGCTGTGTTTTGGGGTACAGGACACTGGACGCTGGTAGTGTCGTGTTGCGATCTCCTCGTCGGACGCCCATGGTTGACGCCGAGCGAGGGATGTAGGTGTACGTGGTGGTATCACGACGTTGCACGCGCGCAATGACACCGGCCGGCGTCCCAAGGACTTCGCAGGAGGTCATCGTTGTCGGCGGTGGCCCCGACGACGACGAGTCTCGGTTGCCCATATTGCCAAAGCCAATTATAGACTGTACTCTTTTGCACAGCTGCAAAGTATAGAGTATCGAGTTGATACTAGGAAAAGGAATCCACGTTATTCGGCTAAAAATGACGTCCCGTGTCGGGTTTGAACTCGGGTTCGGGCTTGGACTCGTCCTTCTTTGTGAGCAGATGCTCGAGGCGCCGCGCTTCGTCCATGTTGCCGGCCTTGTAGTGCATCTGCATCTGGTCGCGGAGTCGCTGCTGCTCGCGCATGTGCTCAATCTTGCTGCGGTCCATGGTCTGCATAATGAGCGCAAACTCCTTCTTGTTCGCGTCGGCGCGCTGGCGCATGCGCTCGGCATACGCCGTCTCCTCTTCTTCCTTGGCACTCGGCTTGTGTCGCTTGGCGCGCTTGGCCTGCTCCTTGGCAAACTTGCGCTGCTCGTACTTTTCAACGTCGTAGTACTTCTCATGGGGCAACGTCGCGGTGTTGTAGTCCTCCATGTAGTCGCGGAAGTGGTCCATGGCCTCGTACTTGGGGCCGTTAAAGTCGGGGATCTACATGGAGTTATAAACCTGGGCGATCACAGAGTCCATGGCGTACCTTTTTAACGTCGCGTAGCCAGGCCTGGAACGACACAGCCTTGGCGTGGAAGTCGGTCTCGCGCAGAATACCATACTTGCCATACTCGTTCTGGTTGATGGCAAGGGATGAGGATGCTTTCTTCTTGTGACTCTTCTTGCTTTTCTTGCTCTTCTTGTCCTTCTTGCTCTTCTTGGACGACGCCTTCTTGGACGAACGACGGCGACGACGCGCATCGTCCGAGTCGCTGCTGCTCGCGCTGTCGCTGCTGTCGCTTTCGCTGCTGCTGCTATAGTCAGCCGCCTTGCGTGTCGCTCGCTTGTCGCTCGTCTTCTTGGACGTCTTGCTGTCGCTGTCGTTGCTACGACTGCGACGACGCTCGCGGCTAGCACTGCGCTGGCGGCGGCGCGACCGCTCGGCACTGGGGCTGCGGCTACGACGCCGGCGGTCTGGGCTGCGGCTCTGGCGGCGGTCTGCGCTTCGTCGCCGCGTCTGGTCTGGGCTGCGCCGGCGGTCACGGCTGCGGCTGCGGTGCGATGGTCGCCGGTCGCTCATTTCGATGGATGGGCCGTATCCGGAACACACGCTGGTTGGGATCGAAACAGTGTATTGTACGGATATCACACGCCACCCAGCAAACAGTGTCTTTCACAGAAATAAACACTGTTTCCGGCTACTGCAAAGCAGTGTTCTCACTGGCGCCTCTTGTGCCCGATCCAGTGCTCGTACCTCGAACGAAAGACTCGGTGATACGTTGCTAGCCGTCCCTACAACGTATTGGCGAGACGGTGCATGTCTCGGTGGAGCCCGGCACGACTCCAAGGACCGTCAAACCGTGATCTGCACGCCGAGACAGACTCGGTCCCGACTCGTACTTGAAGTGAAGGTATCAGTACTTGTCGAGGAGGACTGGGTGAGAATAATGCGTTTGAAAACGACGGTCGGGAATGAAAGTGTGATCCATACACTTGCGTAAGGACGTGTTTCACGTTATCTTCACTGAAGACTCTGCATTTCATTTTTGAAAAAAGAGGCAACTCGAGTTGAAGTGAACGTTCGGAGACCAGCGCCTAAGTAGAGACCATCTTTCGCAGCGCCCATCACACGACCAAAGTGGTTGCCACGGTGGGGCTCGAGCTGGGGGCCGTCTGTTCATAATGAACCGAGTCGTGTCAGAAGCTAAAGAAGCGTCGTGGTTCCTTGTGCACTGTGTACTGTATCTACAACGGCATACACTTACGTAAAGGTTATGGGCTTGATAACTCGGTGCTTATTGAGGGTGTGTCCAGTGTACATGAAGACAAGCTGTTAGGAAGAAGGAGCGTTGCGTCGTCAACACGCCACGTAAGGACAGAGCAAATGCATAGTATTACTGAGTTACTTAGACGGAACGCGTGTTACCTTCACATTGAGGCAGCCGACAGACAACGACGCAGCAAAACCGACGCGTGCAACCGGTCAAGAGCTGCAGCAGCGGTTGCCGCGTGAGTAGCACTAGGTACCAGAGACCGACGACGACGAGCAGCAGCGAGAGCGGACCCAAATCCCAGCGCCACGCCGGAACGAATGCAATTTGAAGCACCGCTTCTGGTACGACGTCCAGGTGCATGACCACGGCGCGAAGCACATCAAAGCCAGCAATGAAGTTCTGAGCGACCGACCAGACAGCGAGTGCGAGCCAGACGCTCGCGAGACAGGCGAGGGCCGTGCGCACGACCAGTAGATAGCCAACGAGCCGCAAGACGCCGGCGGTCGATGCGTCGTCAATGAGTCGGGGTTGCATGTGCTCGGCGCACAAGTACGTACTTGCATCGTCATCTTCGTGCAGCGGAATGCGCTGGGACGTCAAGCACACGTGGTTGTGGAAACGGACGTCGACCTTGAGCCAAGCAAACAGCCACATATGGTAGCGCATCACGACATTGTCGACGCCATCGTACGCCAGCAAAAGGCGAGGGCCATCGACCATCACCGCGCAGAGGGCGAGGAGCCCGAGAAGACAGACGCCGACGCATGTCCAGACGACGTGGGCAAGAACGCACAGCAGCGTCGTGTACGTAAGCAGCTCGCAAGGCCAGAAGAGTAGGTGCCAGAGCGAGAAGATCGAGCGCGGTCGGCCGCCCACTTGGGTGTCTGGTGGCAGCAGTGTGGCCATCAGCAATGGGATATCTCTGGACACAGAACGAACGGAAGCTGGTCGCTGGTGCAAGCGGCAAGTGCGACATGCCGCCATGGCGCGTTTGGATTGGTTCAAGAGGAATGTTGGTGGAGGAATGATGGTTTTCACTCGGTGAAACGTGGCACGACCAGAGACGCCGCCAAGTGCAATCGCCAGCAACGTGATGCTGACCCAGTGTCTGAAGCATTCGACGACTATAGCATGTAGTCGGCTAGTCGACTTATGCGACGCACGCGTCCACCCGGCGTTTAATGTGAAGTGTGCGCTCGATACAGAATGTCCATGTACGGTTGCTGTTGGTTTCAGCAAGGACGCACAAAATAATTAGGCGGTACGGTATTTCATCTACCCCAAGTACTGTACAAAATGAGATAATCGCTTACTGCAGTGGAATGGCATATCGGAGGTGCGGCGCACTCTCCGAGGCGAGGGGTGCGTCGACATCAAAGAGGCGCCACGTCTTGATATCCAGTAGCACCGTCTTGGTCGTCCGCGGCAGACGCAGTGTGAGCACGCCGTTGATGGCCGCCGAGACGCGATCAATGCAGTAGACACCGTCGAGGACCCAGCCTTCTTGGGCAAAGTGGTAGTAGGCTGTCACGTACAAGAGGTGCGACCGCACTCCACTCTCGGCTCGACCGTGGTAGCGCACTCGCTGGACCAGGTACGTACCAAACAATAGTGCGAGCGTGAGCCCGATGAGCCCCGTGACGCGCTTGGGGTCTCCGATGTGCACGATGCCGCTGTCACAAACGAGCTGCATGTCGATGATTGGCGCGGTGCAGGACCGTCGCAGACTCGCCGAGTGCTGGACGGGCGACACCAGTGACCAGATCGCCGACGCGGCCCAGACAAGCACACTGCTCGGCGTTGCATACAGCGGCGTATACTGCTGGGTTAGGACGGAAAAAGTGTCGTTGAGAATGAAGACAAGCCATGTCGTTTCGCCCGCCGCCATGATCGTCGAGAACCACGACTGCGGTATCGCGACTATGTAATAAAAGCCATTGGTCTCGGCCAAGTCGAGCTTGGCGGTCGATAGAAGACAGATGGCCGTGATACTGCGCAGGAAAATGAGCGGGCGGCCAATCCAAACCAAGCCCGTGACACGGTTGACGACGAGCATATTCTTGCCTTCAATGTGGCCGCGACTACCGATAATGTAGCCGCAAGCGAGCGACACGACAAAGAAGAGGACGCCCGAGACGTAGAGGAGCACGCAGCGGGCGTAGTAGGCCACGTTGATGGGCAGCTCGAGCGGGTTGATGGGTCCTTTGTGCACAGCGTTGCGGCCCGAGAGCGCAGTGATGGTTCCATACACACCGTGAAAGGTCACCACTTCCCGCACGCCATCGAGCCACTCGAGAAGGTAAAGATACCCAAACACGTGAAACCCAACGTCGTTCGGGTCCAAGACCAAGGCCGGCACGAGCGCTGTCGTCGTACGGTTTCTTTGAACAAACTGAATCAGTACGAGGGGCAGCTCGTTGGCGAAGTACTTTGCGACGGCCGTCGACGCCCTCGCCATCGCGATACGTTCGTCCAGCGTATAGCGCACGTGTAGAAACACGGTGGTCGCCTCCAAAAACGTGCGACACGGCGTCGACGCCGCCAGCGTCATCTCATCACACGAGCGTGTGACGTTGACGTCCGGCCCGACTGCCAAGAGCGCGATACAGCCCATGACCGCGTCGACGCTCAGCGTGTCCTCCATGTTGACCGAGCAAGCGCCTTGATTGGTGTAGAACATGCATACGCTTTCGGACGGCGGTTGCGTCGGACAGAGAAGGTCCCCGCCGACATGCCCGTTCACGCCCCAGGCTGCTGGCGCCATGCTCAGGTCGATAAGACCACCGCC